ACCCCAGACCAGCACACAGACTACCCTCCGTGCTCACAGAGTAATGGTCCCAGAGCTGCAACCGGCCCAGACAGAGACTGCACCTCCCTGGCTCCCACCTAATGCTGGAGTCCCCATCCCTGCTTGGCAGGTGATGGGAACCCCACCTCTGCTAAGCCTTGAGGCTGTGGTTCTTGGGTGGCTCCAAAGGTTAGGCCGCTGTTCGCTCTGATGCTGCCTGGCATTGCCTGTCTGTGCTCTGCACCCTACTGGGCAACGTGCAGGCCTGCTTGCCCGCTCAGCTTTTCCAGACACAAAGTCATCTTCTCGCTCAAGTCCTTTCACCATTAAGGCGACTTCATCTGCTGAGCCACCCAGACTGGAAACTTGGGGGCGCGTTTCCATGTCTCCCTCACACCAGCATGGCATTCATGCGTGGACAAGCCCTGGCCTCCACGCCTCTGAGTAGCTGCCCTGTCCAGCCCTCCTCACTGTGGCCACCACAGCAGCAACTCTCTGTCCCTCCATTTCTCCCCCCAGCCCTTCCAGGAGCTTCGGAACTGCTCTTCCTGCCTCAGGTCCTTCGACTCCTGGTCCTGTCCCTTCTCTGTGTGGACTCCATCTACATTAGGCCTTACGGCATAATGTTAATGTTCAAGGCCTTCCATGACTGACCACTGCCCGCCTCTCCAACTGGGACAGTCCCACGTGTAGCCCTGACCCCACCCCCAGCAGTGCCTGAAGAACTCAGGTTCTTGTCAGAGCTGGGTGCCTTCACTCATGCTGGTCTCTTCTTGTTGGCCTGGAAGGTCTGCTTTCTACACTCATGCAAACTGTCTTCATTCCTCAAGGCTCAGCTCATGTCACCCACTCTCTAAAATGTTTCCCAGTTTTCCCAAAGACGACTGGCTTCCTACATACTCCTGACAATGGGTTTCTTGCCTGCTCTAGCGCCTGGTTTCTTTTTGGTGCTAGCCTATCTACCTCCCTGCCTGGACTGTGAGCTGTTCCTTGGGACTACACCTTGTCATGTCTGTATCCTCCACATGCTGGGTGCTAAGTGTTGTAAATAAATCTTTAGATTTATTAGAAAATAGCTAAAGCTTGAATGAACACATCTACTGAGCAACAAAAGGTCAGTAAGTGTTGAATCAAACTGGCCCTAATTCTGCCCCAGACAGATGCCAAGGCCGAGCCCAGCTGTTCCTCTTTAGACTGTTTTCGCCCGGACACTGGGGACACCAATGGCCCCACTCTCACTTTGGACTCACTGCCCTCAGACTTCTAGAACACAAAACAGAAATAAACTTCCTTTGGGAAGCCCCTGCCACTTCCATTGCTGTCTGTAACTTGAAATTGAACACAATCCTAATTAACAGACTATTTCTAAATCTCTCCTATTGAATCCACTCAGCACGAGCACTGAATTCAATCTTCCCAACACAATACCATGCTTCCGTGCTCCTGCTCAAAAACCCCAGTGACTTCCACATGCCATTAGGGTAAAAATCTAGATTCCTTAGCTTATCACTCCAAGCTCCATAATCCAACCCCATGTTACCATGCACACCACACCTCCGCCAACACACACACAAACACACACGATCATTAACCCTTGATTCCAGCCCAATAGCTCCATACAATGTCCCTTACTCTTCGCTGGTTTGACTGAGTAATGACAACTGAGATTATGGGTAGGTGGATATGTTACTTTATGTGGCAAAAGGGACTTTGCAGATATGACTAAGTTAAGGATCTTGAGATGGAGAAATTAGGCTAGGCTATCCAAGTGGGCCCAATATAATCACGTGGGTCTTTATAAGAAGGAGAGGAAGGGGCGAGGGAGAGGAAGGGGCGAGGGAGAGGAAGGGGCGAGGGAGAGGAGAGAGAGGAGGGAGAGGGAACAGGAGAGGAGGAGGAGGAAACTGGAAGTTGCTATTTTTGAACATGGAAGAAGACGCTAGGAACCAAGAAGCATAGGTAATTTTTAGAAGCCAGAAGGAGCAAGGAAGCAGATTTTTCCATCCAGCCCCCAGAGGGAAAGCTGCCTTGCGGACACCTGGGTTTTAGCACGGCTGTTCCAGACTTCTGACTTCCCGAGGTGGAAGAGAATACACTTGTGTTGTTGTTTCAGGCACTAAGATTACGGTAATTTGTTATAGCAGCCACAGGAAAGTAATACCTAAAATATCAATGGGGGACTCCAATGGGGAGTGAGCCACACTCTCCAAGGGCAGATCAAGGTTCCTCTGACAACAGCCTTTGAAGACCTTTCCAAAGATGCTAGCTGGTCCGCCCGCTCAGCCACTGACTTTGCATGCAGATGTTCTGGTAAAGTTTTGGTTTCAGCCAGCGTCCTCTGAGCATGACTACATCCTACACACTGGTGGGTTAATTCACATGATCTCATTTAACCCTCACAACAATCTTATCACATAGAGAGTATCTTGCCCATTTGATGGGTGATATAACCAAGGCTCAGATAATAATATGAACAGCTAATAAATATTGAGCACACACTCCGAGCCAGGTACTAAGCACTTCCTGTGTGTTAACTAATTTAATTCTTCCATCAATCCTGTTCCCCATTTACAGATGAGAAAACTGAGGCGTAGAGAGGTTAAGTAACTTTTCAAAATCCTTACAGGTGGTGTGACTGGCAGGGTCAAGACTGGAACCCAGGTCCTTCAGGGCCAAGATCAGTGTGTTCCAGGTTGTACCCTGACTATCTCTCATCATCGCCATCACCATTACCACCTGTTGGTGACAACAGCTCAGGCTGCTGGAATGGAGCCCAGCCCTGTCTTTCTCTCTGATCCCCCTTCAGGGTCCTGCTGGGTAAGGCACTGGTGGCTGTCTGCCGAGCGAGCCACATGGCAGGATTCAAAAATGATCTCACGTCTGGAGCTCCAAGTGGCAACTGCTCCCTTGGAAGGGTCTCCCTGGTGCTGTTTACTAGCAACCGTGATGGCATGCTCCGCTCTCCACTTGGCACTTCAGCCCTCCTCTTCCCCCAGCCTCCAGAATTATTCCCACGTACACGTTTAACAGGGGAGTCCTCCCGAGCTTTCCTAAGAATGGGGAGTCCCAGGGAAGGATTCTCTCAGGGGCACATGTGTTCCACGGCACGTCCCGGGGAAGCACTAAGAGACTCTCTTGCCCACTTGACAGGTCTTAGACCCAACCACTCCCCATGGGATCCCCTCAGGGCCTGCCCCACTGACTGCCCAGCTTTGCGCCCAACACCCACAAAGGCCAGCCGCTCGGCTTGCTTGTCCTGAGACCTGAGCCTGTATCTATGTAGCCCTTTCTCCCTCCGCACCCTGGACTCAACCCCTGCCCCCACTAAGGCACCGGGACAGAGCTGTTTATAGGGAACCAGTGGGATTTCTTTCTAGAATCTTCAATGAATTTCTTATTCTCTGTCTTTCAAAAGGCAATCGTCTATTTCCCTTTCCTTATCTTGAGCTTCCCTCCAACTACCTCTTGCTGACAGAGAGACAGGTTGTTTGCTAAGCTTCGGCCACGACAGCTGCCTGAGGATGTGTCCAAGGTGGACTGTGTGGTACCTGCAATGAGGGGGCTCAGGCCCCGGTGGCTCCAGTTTGCCTGGGTGTGGGCTCCAGAAGCAAGGAACTTTGCTTTGTAGAAAGGAGAGGCCTGGCAACTTGGGGGGCTTGAGACTGAATTCTATTGGCTCAAATAAAAGTATAAAAAAATAGGGAAATGGAAGGTGAAGAGCCACAGGTCTCTGCTTCCTCCACAGGGGATTGAAGCTAAGGAACCGAGCTTCAGCGGTTGAGAGGAACCTTTCCGGACCACAAACCAATCTCGGTATCGTGACATGGTTTTATGATCTTGTCACTTTGAAAGCAGACTGGGAGAACTGTGCAATAGTGGACCCTAAATGGAAGACTCCAGTTTAACACACAGAACATCTGCCTCCTTCACGTATCCACGGAGAGACTCTCTTCCTGAGTTGGGAAGAAGGTGTCTGTCTGCTCAAAGGAACCCCTAACCTTTTCTGGAAAGACGGGTAATGAAACACCGTCTAACCTTAGGATGCGCCTAGGACTACTCTACTAAGGACTTGAATAATCCTCGCAGCATCGTGGGGATCCCACTAAATAGGTGAGGAAACTGAATAGAACAGTTGGGTAACTCCAAAGTTACTAAGCTAGGCAATCTCGGCAGGCCACCCTCGGTGTCCCCGCTCTTGACCCCAGTCCCCTGCAGCCTTGGTTGTTTCTCTGCGTTCTCACAGCCGATTAAATGCGCTTGGTGCAGATGCATCCTGGCTCCCTGATTTATGACAGCTGGGAGCCGGGTCAAACGTTCGGGCTGGGAGTACGCGTTCCTGAGCAGCTGGCTTCCTGCAGACCTTACTGAGAGAGTCTCCATCTTTCTGTCCTCTCCCCAAACTACCCTCGGGGTTTCTGGCAACTACAATAAAATGCCCTCCCCTTTCCTTTGTCCACAGTGTAGGGAAGCTGGAGCTGAAGCTGCCATAGAAAGCCAAAGAACAGAACCTCGGTGACCCAGCAGACCATGGTCGGGGGCGCGGGGAGAGGGCGTGAATATCGGCATCAACCTGGCTCGCCCGCTCGACAAGTCTCCCTTTCCTCCGTCCGTGGAGACCGGGTCTGCGCGCCCCCGCGCCGGGGCACAGCGCCCCCTCGGGGCACGGCGAGGTGGCTGCTGTGCGGTGCGCCACGCGCAGGGAGTGCGCCCAACTCGCGGGACCCGGGTGGTTTGACTTCTGCCCGCGAGAGGCAGGGGCAGCGCGGCTCCCTGTCGCGTGTGTCCCGAGGGGACAGAGCGATGGGCCCAGGGCGGGGAAGAGACGCCTGGCGCTCCGGGCCGCGCGGAGCTGCAGGGCGAGAGGGGAGGAGGGGGTACAACGCCCGCGGGCGTCGGTCAGCCCAGCGCTGTCTGTCTGTCGTTAAGTCCGTCGGTCCGCCTGTCTGCGCCCCGGGGCAGCGAGGCGGCGCAGAGTCCCGGGGAAAACGCGCCCTGCTCACCTGCAGCCGCCGCCGGCGCCCGGAACGCGAGACAGCGACGCGGCCACCTGGGTCTTCCTCGTGGGCCTCCGTGCCGCGTCGAGAGCCGCGGGTGTCTTCGGGGACCGCTCGCGGGAGCCGAGCAAGAAGCCCGCGCCGCTGCCGCTGTATCCTCCTTGGCCGCCGCCTCCAAGTCCCATCCCCGAGCGCTCCCCTCGCTCGCTGGCTGCCTGGGAGGCTCCGGGCCAGCGCGGGCGGGCGGGCGGCGGTGGGGCGGCGCCGCGGCGGGCAGAAGGAGGGGTGTCCGCTTCGGGGACGGGGAAGGCGCGGCGAGGGAGCGGCCGCGAGGGCCGCGAGGGCCGCTCCACCCCGCGGGCAGCCCCGAGCGCTGGGCACCCTAGCGGTGTCCCCTGCTTGCTGCCACCTGGCTCCGCTCGGCTCGGGCCTGTAAGCAAGCCCAGGTGGGCGTCGGACCCCAGGGGTCCGGCGCCGCAGGCTCAGAACTAAGGGAGCTTTGGTGGTTTGGTGGACGGGTGTGGGAGGAGAGCATCTCCAGGGGGAAGGGAGGCACGGCAGGGGTCCTATGTCCTGAACTTGGGGTCACGATTGGCAGGAGGCATCGGTCGATGACGATGGCAGAGTAAAAAGTGACGAGAATTGGAATAATTGGTGACAAATGCCAGGACCTCTCTTGTCAGTGCCCGGAAGACCCCACCAGTCATCTTAACAGAGTCCACTGCCAAGGACAGGCTCAAGAATAAAGGTAGTGAGGATGCCAGAATGGAAAGGAAGCAAAGTTCCTACCCTAAACGAGCAGGAAAAGTCTAGTTCAGACAAGACTTTTGAAATTACGGGTGAAGATGTGTGCAGTTTCGTAAAGTGGGAGAACACGGGGTTTCTGGGCTCTGCACAATAGGCCAGGACACCTCCTAATAAGGGCACCAAAATCTCCCCAAACCAATAACCCCACGCCTCCAGTTCAGGTTTTAACAAGCTATGGGGGAGAGGCAGCAGAACTGAGTTAATGAATTTCAAAACCTCTGAATGTGCCAGTCTGATACTTTAAGTGCTCTTGGCTGCTGTTCCTCCTAACCATCAACTCCTATTTGTTGATAGGTGGTTTCTGGAAAAGAAAAAAAAAAAGCAAGAACAGAAAACCCACACCATATACAAAATCAATTCTTCAGAAAAGCTCCAGGAGTGGGTAATTGAATTTACCCATAAAAAAGGGGCTACCATACTGAAGCCATCAGGTTCCACAGTGCCAAGAAAAAAATCTTGGATTCACATTCCTCTTATCCTGCACCTTAGGCCCACTGGGCACTCGGTTGTGCGTGCTGATCAGAAGTTTCTTTGTAGTTCGTAGGGAGGAGGTAGGTAAAGGTCAGAAAGCAGTGGAAGGTCTTCAGGAAATGTCTGGTCTCTGAAGTCTTGTATCCACAGATGAAAATAATTCCTGAGTCTGGGCCAGTGAAAATCCCGGAGGAGCTGGGGAAGTTGAGTTACAGTTTCTGGAAATTATACATTTAAAATGTGTTGCCTTCTTCCAAGACACCAATGTGATCCAGTAATTTACCAGGAGAACAATAGCAGTTCTGAAATCCTTCCAGATTTTAAGGAGTTGTAATTTAGTAACTGATTCCAGTGAGTCCGGTATATGCCAACCAAAATGGTTTTCCCCCCAGGGAGTTCTATGGGAATTCCTCAGAATAGGAAATCTCTGTGGAGCACTTCTGGGGCCCAGTCGGGCGGGTCAGTGAGCCGCACTGCCTTGTGAACAGATCTTCAGGTCTGCCAGAAGGAAAGAGAGCAAAGGGGAGTGCGACGTCTTGAAATGTCAAGTCAGAAAAAAAACCTTGCCTTAGTTTCCCGATTCCCTTCGGAGGGAAGGCAAGTTAGTGAGAATAAAGGCCGCTAGGGAAAGCCAGCCTGGCCTTTTCTGACAGAGGCCCTGCCTCCAGCTTAGTGTACAGAAAGCCTTATTCAAAAGAAGAGTGAGTTCAGAGGTTTTGTTCTCATGGGGGCACTCAAGCAAGCAGACAAGATTAGGGTGTGAGGTATTTGAGAGTTCAGGAGTCAGTTGGAATTGATAGCTGCTCAAACTAATCACAGCTTGGTAGCTGTACTGGGTTCCACTCTCAGTTCTCTATCTCTACATGGGGTCTATTGTGGTGTAAGGTTTGATGGGGGAAGGGGTGGGGGGGTCACTTGACCCAGGCCTCAGACTCATGAGTAGCTGCAAATATAGACTTTTGACATAAGCATTCATTTGTTCCTTGTGAACAATAGAACTTCTGTTGTGTTTTGCTTCCTAGAGGGCAGGTTGAAATGAGACTATCAAACAATAAGTGGGCCAGAGTACAAGGAAAGCGAAGCAGACAAGTTGGCTACAGACCCATAGCCTAAGGCAAATCCCGTAGTGAGTGAGTGAGAAATGTGAAGTAAGGTCAACTGCGCTGTTTCTCTAGGTAACTGGTGATGGTCTAGTCCTGTGTAAACCACTGGAGCTCCTCCCGCTCCCACTCAAGTAGAAGGGCAGGATGTCTCACCTGGGAGAGGAGACATGTGCCCTTTGCTGCCAACTGGTTGGCCCTGGAGATACGGGGTTGGGAGGAGAGCCTTCCAAGACAGTGGCTGGGTTTCCGCTCCTGCCCAGGGTGGAGCACTCTCCTAGCTGGGGCCCTGCTCCCTCGGGCACTCCATCAACAGGGATGGCTAGTTCCATGGGCTGGCTGGTGGCACCACTGTCTTAGGTGAAATGATTTCTAAACAAACATCATCCCGCCTTGGAAAGACAGGATGAACGTGATCTGGGAAGAACTATAGCAAGTCAAAAATTCGTTCAAGAAAACAATAACATTTAAAAGACACAAATGTTTATATGTGATCTTGGAGTTGGACCATTTGCTCCGGAGGGCAGGCACCAGGCCTGCTTGTTCACAGATATTGCCCTATGCGGTGCTATGGAAGGGACTGGGCTGCCGTGGCTTTAACCTGGCATTACAGCCTTGTGGTGTTTGTGAAATCGGGTTGATGAGGTTACCTATTAAGAATGATATAACAGGCCCTGGCTGGTGGGACTCAGTGGATTGAGCTCCGGCCTGCAAACCAAAGGGTCGCTTGTTCGATTGCCAGTCAGGGCACATGCCTGGCTTGCAGGCCAGGTTCCCAAAAAGGGGCACAGGAAAGACAACCACACACTGATGTTTCTCTCCCTCCCTTCCCCTCTCTAAAATAAATAAATAAAATCTTTAAAAAAGAAAAAGAATGAGATAGCAGGATGGAGTGGGGAGCCATAAGGCACAGGCAAGAATGAGTGGATATCTGACTTGTTTTCTTGGGTATTGACAAGGCTGAAACACCACCTGTCTCCTTGGAGACTAGTTTGTACTTGCAGTGTGCAGGGTGGACCTGCTGTATGTGGAAATATTACTCAGCAACACATTGCTGCTTCTTTCATCCCTAAACCTAGGAATTGGCACGAAGTGGTCTGTTGGTAGAAGCCAATAGCCTCATGCCTGTGACACTCAACTGTCTTCTTGAAATGCCATTCACGAGTCTATATCTGCACTGGTTGCCTGGCATTTAATTGGACTGCAAGATACTGGGGCAATAAGTGTATGTTTCTGTCCTATAAAACCCTCCACTTGCTGGCAGAGCTCAGTAAGCGGTGACTGAATAATAAGAGAAATATCAAAAGACAGGACTTTTCCACATTCTCTCTTGCTGGAGAAAATAACTGGGACATGGTTATGACTGGGGTGGAAAGAAGAGGAGGTGACCCGCGGAGAGGCACAACGTATTGTAAGACGGAGGAGAATAACATGTAGGGCAATAAAGTGAACTCTGTCACTGGGACAGCAACCTCTGAAAAGGAGTCATGGAAATGCCTTGACTCATTCGAAACAAGAATTGACAGAGCCATTCCCAAGTATGGAAAGTGCCAGAACATTACTGGCTACCTGTACACTATCTGTGAACAAAACGATGTGGAGAAGAGGATGCAACAACCCAAGCTTTAAAGACTTGAAAGTTTGTTTTCGTTAGATCACAACGTCTAATGAGACAGCACAGCACCCCTGGCCAGAACTAGTGAGACAACGCTGACTAGCAGTGTTTCACCTTTAGCTCTATCTCATTCATGGGGCAGAATAGGATGTTAGGACAACTTTTGAAAATCAGTTATAACTGACTCTTGAGTGACATGGGTTTGACCTGTGTGTCCACTTACATGTAGGTTTTTTTTTCAATAACTATGCAGTCAGTCCTCCATATCCCTGGGTTTTGCATCTGCAGATTCAATCAACCGCAGCTTGAAAACAGTATTTTTTTATTGGGAGAATCAAAACCCCACCATAGGTCACAGTTGGGAACCCACAGATGTGGAGGGCCGACCACATGCATTGTTCTATGCCATTTTATATAACAGACTTTAGCATCTGCGGATGGATTTTATTATCCACAGGAAGCAGGGGGTCCTGGAACCAATCCCCTGTGGGTACAAATAGATGACTGTAGTTGTTTTAGGGGAGTCAAAAGTTATATGCAACACAGCTAACCTACAGAACAACTACCATTCAGAACCACCTGAAATCTCGCTGAATGGACATCCTACAACTAGGGATTGAAACAAGAAGCCACACCAAGACTGGTGGGAGGGGGCAGAGAGGTAGACCTGGCTGCTTCCACACCCATATGTGGTGAATAAAAAGTGGGAGGGATATCTTAGCTTCAGAGGTACCCCCTGACAAGCAAGGGGTCCCAGCCCCACACCAGGCCCCCAAACCCAGGGATCCAGTGCTGGGAAGAGAAGTCCCCATAACTTCTGGCTGTGAAAACCAATGGGGATTGTGGTTGTGGCAGATGGAGGGCTTCTGGAGTCCCAGGAATTAGGGCCCAGCACAGACTCACTTGGACTCACTCCCTCTGAGTTCCAGCACTGGGGCAGCAGCCAAAGAGTCGCCAGGAGAGGAACTGAAGTGTCTGGAATCAAAGGGCTGGAAGGGGCAGCTTTCTCCCAGACAAAAGTGCTGGCAGAGGCTAATGTTCCTTTTCTGAGCCCTCCCCCTCAGAGCCAGCAGGTGGACAGATAAAGTGCTTCCAAGACAAGGTAAAGCTAAAGAGTTCATCATCACCAAGCCCTTATTACATGAAATGTTAGAATTACTTAAGAAAAAGGATATCAAAACTATGAATATGAAAATGGCAACAAATTCACAACTATCAACAACTGTATCTTTAAAAAAACAAAAACAAAAACCC